GTTCGGCTTTTTGGCAATTCCCCCCGGACAGGGGTTTGACTGCCGAAAAGCCGGACATGTCCGGGAAAAAGAGGACGTATGGTAACCCTGGGGGGGGGGCTTGCTGGCCTGCCCCTCTGCCTCTGGAGGGAGAAGCACGGGCCCCACCACCACCTAGGGGTCCCTCCTGCTTGGCCGGCTGACTGCTGCTTGCTGCTGTTGAGGAGAAAGAAGAGAGGATTCCTACTAAGGGACATTGTGGAGGGGGTCCGTTTACAAACGGAGTGACTTTTACCATCTCTGCTCCTGGGGTGGTGGTGACTCCTATTGCTGTTGAAGGGAGCATGGGGGAGAGGCACGGAGCCCTCCCCCTAACCCATCTGCTCCCCCCCACCACCATCCCCACTGCCGCCCCCTCCACCACACCACGTACCACCTGGACCTGCTCTTTGCCCCTCAACGGGGCTGTTTGTTCCCCACCTTTCACCACCTGGGACTGTTTGCAGCAGTGAGCAGCAAGGACTGAGCTACACAAGCACACATGGGCGCACGTACCTCCCCACCTTGGACTTACCCTATCCCCCCACAGCTGCATTTGGCTGGTGGGGCCCCCTCCCTGCTGTGACCCCTGGCCCCCCCCCCATGTTTGCTCCTCCCCCCTGCAGCCTGCCCCGCCTACCTCCTGCTTTGACCCTCTAGGGGTTTCCCTTTCGGTTGGTTTGCCTGCCTTGCCCTAGCCCTTCAGTATTTGTTACCTGCACCGCCCCAAACTAGCATGAGGGACCACTGGACCCAGGGACCAAATGAGTACGGGGGACAACAAATGAGAAAAACAGGGACTGAAGTGAAGGTCATAAGTTCAAAACGAGGGTACCGGATGGGGACACCGAGCAGAGAACCCTGGACAGCGCCCACTGCTCCTTGCACTCCTCAAAGGTGTTGAGGGAGCCAGTGGACGCTGCCCAGTAGAGCTCTGCCCAGATGCATGAAACTAGGGAGGAATGGAAATAGGCCCCACAGTCGCAGAGCACCCCCTTGTCCAGCATCCTCCTCCTGGTAGTGTAGATGGAGAGTTTGGCCAGGGCCAGGAGGAGGTTGACGAGGAGGTCTCGCGATTTCGTGGGGCCATGGATGGGGTGTGCAAAAAGGAACAGATGCGGGGAAAAGTGCAGCCAGAACCTCAACAAGAGGTTCTGGAGGAGCCAGAATAGGGGCTGCAACCTGGTGCATTCAAGATAGGCGTGTGCCAGGTTCTCCCTCATGCCGCAAAAGGGGCAGGCCTCAGGTACGGGTGTGAACCACGCCAGGTACACGCCGTGCTCATGGCTCCGTGAAGGAGCTGCCAACTGATGTCCCCGGCGGGCCGTGGGATCAAGGTGGAATAAAGGCTGGCCCACGAGGGTGAGGAACCCCGTTTAGGTGGAAGATAGTCCCGCCATTTGCTGTCGAGGCAGGACGCAAGGGTGAGGAAATGCAGTGTGTGGAGCACGAGCGTGTACAGTTGGTCTCTAGGCACGGTTTGGAACCGGACCGGCTGCAGGGTGTGCAACCGGCTCGGGGTGTGGGAACGGGGAGGCCGGGGGGGGGCTCGCGGAACAGGGGTTGAATAAAAATGTCCGGAGGGCCCGGGGTGAGGGGTGGGCGGGGAGCGCCCTCTCGCAGGGCCCGCTGCAGGAAGATGAGAGAGATGGATGACAAGGCGGCCTCCACCTCCTGCAGTACGCACAGGGGGGTCGGAAAGCTGGAGAGCCCTATGCGCCGACCGAGCACATGGGGATCCACCCAGTCCCCCCGTCGTAGTCCAGGAGGTCTCCGGCCCTAGTGGTTTCTGCCAGGACCAACTTCCGGCGCACCGAGGGAGACTCCACCACCTGCACATGTAGATCAGGGTTGTGTACCAGGGGCTCCGCGAGGAGGTCCACCTCCTCGGTGGCCACAAAGGACCTGGTCGCTGAAAAGAACTTCCAGGTCTGGAGGAGGTCCTGGTAGAAGACCGGCAGCTCTGAGAGGTCTTGCGGAAGACCCCTCGGGTGGAGAAAAAAGAGCTGCTGTTCATATCGGAGCCCTCAGATGTGGTGGAGGAAGGTGTGCGCCAACGTGCTCCACGCCGGACTACCTGCACCATAAAGGAGTCTCTGCAGGGCCTGGAGGCGGAAGACATGGACCTGGCTACGAAAGCAGACCCGGCCCTGTCCTCCCTCCTCCAGGGGAAGACTCAGAACCCCCGCAGAGACCCAGTGCAGTCCTGGCCAGAAAAACTCCAGGGCTGTCCTCTGGAGCCTGGCCAGCATCCCCGAGGCCAGGCTCAGGTGTTGAGCCGGTGCCAGAGCATGGACAGGACGAGCTGGTTCAGCACCAGCGCCCTCCCTCACAGGGAGAGACACCGGAGCAGTCCTGTCCATCTCCGCAGCCGCTCACCCACCCTGACCTCTAAATCCTGCCAGTTCTCTGGTGGAGAAGGATGCGTGGCGGAAAGATAAATGCCGAGATAGAGCAGCGGACCCACGCTCCACCGGATGGCTTGGAGCGTAGGTGGGAGGAAGCTCGCCTGCCATCCGTCCCCAACCACCAGGCCAGAGCTCTTGACCCAGTTGACCCGGGTGGAGGAGGCCGCCGAATAAACGGCCTGGCAGGCCTCCACCTGCATCAGGTCGCCCAGGTCCTGGACCATGAGGAGCAGGACCAGCCGCAGCTTCGGCTCCCGAAGCACCAACCCTGCCATCCTCCGACGGAGGAGGCATTGGAAGGGCTCGATCGCCAGAGCGTACAGCTGGCCCGAGAGGGGGCACCCCTGCCATACTCCCCACCTGAAGCTGACCGGCTCGGTCAGGGTCCAGTTGAGCCTGACCAGACACTCCGCCTCAGCGTACAGCACCTGGAGAAAACCTACAAACTGGGGCCCGAAGCCAGACGCCCG